TAGCCATGGCATGATATTCAGTCTCAGCAAAAGAACGAGACACAACCTGTTTCTTCTTGGTGCGCCAAGAAATAGGAGAATGACCGAGGGCAATAAACTAGCCAGTAAGAGAACTGCGAGACAAGGGACAACTAGCCCAATCGGAGTCACACCAACCATAAAGCTGAAGATCACTATCCGAACGAAGAAGAATACCTTGGCCTGGGTGTACTTTTAAATACTGGACCACCCGAAGAGCAGCACCCAAGTGAGCCTGCTGAGGAGACTGCATAAACTGAGTTAACATATGGACAGAGTAAGACAGATCCGGACGCGTAACCGCCAAATAAATGAGGCGACCAACAAGACGACGATAGTGCTCCGGATCAGGTAACAAAGAACCATCAGCAAGCGGAAGGTAGTGATTTTGATCCATAGGAAACAAAGCAGGTTTACCACCCAATAAACCAACCTCAGACAGAATGTCTAAGGCATACTTTCGTTGTGACAGAAAATACCAGACTCGGTTCGAAGCACCTCCAATCCCAAAAAATACTTAAGGATACCAAGATCTTTCATGTGAAAACAACGACTCAAATACTGTTTGAAAGTAGAAATAGCAACGCTATCATTACCATCAATGACAAGATCATCAATATATACCGGAAGACCAAGAGAAATACAACCTCGATGAAAGGTAAACAGAGAATAATCAGCAGTAGATTGTACAAAACCACACCGTTTCAAACCTTGAGCAAGTTTGACAAACCGGCAACGAGGGGCCTGCTTCAGCCCATACAAAGAACGCCGAAGAAGACATACCTGACGAGACGTGCCAGTACGAAAACCCGACGGAAATTTCATGTAAACCTCTTCATGAAGATCACCATAAAGAAAGGCATTATGGACATCCATTTGATGAAGTTCCCAATTCTTGGCAGCAGCCACAGCTAAAAATGTACACACAGTGACCATCTTGGCTACAGGAGCAAAAGTCTCTTGATAATCAATACCTTCAACCTGATGGTTGCCGAGAATGACAAGAAGAGCCTTATAACGTTCAACTGAGCTATCCGCGTGATACTTGATTTTAAAAATCCACTTACAAACCAATAGCCCGTTTGCCAGATGGCAAGGAAGTGATTTCCCAGGCCTGATTACGTTCCAAAGCGCAAATCTCATCGCGCATCGTCGACCGCCATCGAGGGTCGTGCATTGCCTCACGAAAAGAACGTGGTTCAACACCTGTAGTAATAGCTGCCAAGAAAGATCTATGCTGGAGGGGAAAAGAATCACAATTTACATAATGTGTTATAGAGTAAGGCGTACATGAGGACTCGGTTGAAGCAGAGGAAGCAATGGGGGGCATACAGTGTGACATGCATAATCACGAAGACGAGTGGATCGGAACTTGGCACGATGACCACGACCCAATAGTTCTGAAGATGCAGCAGGAGCAGGGGGAGAAGGGACATGAGCAGGATCCCCCTCCTTCAGGGGATAAATGAATAGGCTCTGGGGAATCAGAATCCATAGGGACAAAATCAGGTACTACACTTTCATCATCATCACCAGAGGAAGATGACGTACCAACATCAGCAACTGGAGTGGGAGGCAGGGAAGAGGAGGTTAATGTGGCATAGGAAAACTCAGTATCACAGAAAACAACATCACAAGAAGAAATAAATTTCCATAACTCAATATCAAACGCAAGCCACGCCTTCTTACCAACAGGATATCCCACAAAGATATATTTCTGACTACGAGATGCAAACTTATCACCTCCCCGGTCTTGATTGTGCACATAGCAAAAACAACCAAAAACACGTAAATGCTGAAGAGAGGGGGATTTTCCATACAATAATTCAAATGGGGTTTTTCCTTTTAAAACAAAAGATGGAGTGCGATTAATGAGGTAAGCAGCAGTCAAAACACAATTTCCCTAGAACTCAGTGGGAAGATGCGCTTGAAAAAGCAGAGAACGCGCGACATTAAGGATATGCTGATGTTTGCGTTCAACACGACCATTTTGTTATGGAGTGCCGACGCAAGTTTCATGTAAGATACCATTTTGGCGAAAGTAGGTACTCATAGACAAAAATTCAGATCCATTATCACTCCGAATAGTTTTAACATGTTTCCCAAACTGAGTACGGACCATAGCAATAAATTCACACAGAAGAGCAGGCACAGTTTTTTTTATCTAGAAGAAGATATATCCAAGTCGATCGAGAAAAGTCATTAACAATAGTAAGGAAATAACGAGCACCACAAATAGCAGGAGTACGATAAGGTCCCCAGACATCACAATGTATTAATGAAAAAAGTTCCTCACTTTGATAAGTACTAATAGGAAAACTTTCACGAGTTTGTTTAGCTCGAAAACACACATCACAAGATTTATTTGAAATACTAGAATCAGAAGAATCAATGACAGACAGCTCCCGAAGAACCTTGACAGGAGGATGTCCCAACCGCTGATGCCAGAGAAAAGATGTAGCCTCAGTCGAAACAGGAGCCGTCTGAACCGGTCCACGGAAGAAGTAGAGACCCCCCAACTGCTCACCCGGGCCAATCAGAGTCCTCAAAGTGCGGTCCTAAATAACATAGAATTTATTAATAAACTCAGCAGCACAATGAGAATCCTTCAACAAATGATACAAGGAGATCAAGCTGCACTTCAAATTGGGAACAAACAAAACATTAGATAAGGTCACAAAATCACTCAAAATCACTGTGCCTACTTGAGAGGCATGTGTCATAGTGCCATCAGGTAATTGTACCTGTTGTGGAGGAATAGTCCTCAAATCCATTAAAGAATGTAAGAATCCCGTCATATGATGGGAAGCACCACAATCATACATCCAAGAATTGGAAAACCGCTTACCAGAAAGGGAATCACCAGTTTTATTGTTATTAAACATAGAGATCAAAGTCTACCACTGTTCAAGAGAGAGGCCCGTAATGGCAGTCTTATCATGTTCAGTTACAATAGAGCTGACAAATTGAGAGCCAGGAACAACCGCCGCATTCGCCTGACCGGCCGAACCACCCGAACTGCAGATAACCGATGAGTTCAAAGCAACTCAAAATATCATGGCCCGGTTTAGAGCAATGAGTAGAAAACAATCCGGTTTTATCCTTTTAATCCGAAAGCTTGGAGTCAAACCAAGGCCGATTGGAAGATACAGGAGGTGGTGGATTTGATTGAACCGCAAAACTCATAACTTCACTAGCCGGTTCATCATGAGAAGTAGAAATCGCACGAAGCCTTTCTTCTTGGACAAACAAAGAGTAAGCTCGATTAACAGACGGCAAAGGGTCTTGGGAGAGGAGGCTTGACCGAAGAGTGCCGTACAAGATGGCATCCAGACCCATCATAAATTGTTGAAGCTTCTCAGACTCGCGATGACGTGCGGATTCTTCAAGAACATTGGCGGAGCCACACTTGCAAGAATGTAGAGGTTCGTAATTAACAAGTTCTTCCCACAAAAGTTGAAAGCGGCCATAGTAGGAAGGCATACTAAGACCTTTCTGCTTACAGATAGCAATATCAGATTTGAGTTGTTGAATTCTTGGTCCGTTTACAACCGAGGATTGTTCTCGGAGATTGTCCCAAAGAACATAGGCAACCTCACGATGGGGAACAGTAGAGCGGATAGCAGGTTCCATGGAGTTCTTGAGCTAGGAAACAATGAGAGAGTTATTGGTCCACCAATCCTCAAGATTCGGTGAATCGTCCGCCGGTCGAGGGATGGTGCCGTCGACGAACCCGAATTTTTTTCGAGCACGGAGAGTAGTGCGAAGTGCACATCTCCATTCGTCGTAGTTATCGTGCTTCTGAAGAACTTGGGTGATCAATTGGCCGAGACTGTCAGAGGAGGACAAATCATACGGGTTAATGGTTTTCCGACGAGCAGGCTGAGCAGCGCCGGAAGAATTCAATGGAGTAGCAGTACCGGAATTCACAGGATAGGATTCTTCTGCACCGTTCGCCTTTGAAGCAAAGATGGCAGAGAAGAAAGAGAACGATCAACACGATCAGAAAAGAAAAACAATGAAGAAGAACGACGATGTAACGTCGGAGAACAAAAGCAAATTACCGTCTGTTAAAAAAGAACAGCTGGTTGGGGGCTAAAAGACTAGCCTGATACCATGACAAAAGATAAGTATGATCGGCATAAAAAATTTATGTATTGATCAACCCTAAGACGAGTATATATACACAATTACAAAGACCAATTACATACGGTATTATGAAATCCTAGACGTAGAAAGACCAATATACTCTTATATTACATATATATCTATATTCTAGCACGTAGAATTAGAGAAGAATAAAGGGGATTTAGTTTTTTTTTTTGAAGAAGAAGAAGAAAGATTTTTTTTTCCCAATATAGCGAGAGACTAATCATTTGTTAGAGAAATAAAGGTATCGGTTGGGGAGATAGTTGGTCAAAAATTTTAAGATTGTTTCATACTTAAGACAAGATTCGAACACCCAACTTTAAATATAAGGATAGATAAATCTCCACCCTGTCTTCTTGATTAAAAGTATATTAAACAGTATAAAATTTGAAAATCAAGAACTTTATTATATCCCAAATGTATGTGGTTTACTGGTTATCAAATCGCCCGAGTGTTTTTAGTCTCGTGAACTGATTAAAGTAAGTAGATAAGACGTTCATGAATTATATAATTTAGTTTCTAGTAGAATGTAATGTAATAGTCTAGATATTTTTAAAATTAATACACAGGTACCATTTCAAAAAAAAAAAAAAAATCGCCAGAGTTGTTGCCCTTTAGCCTGCAAATCTGTGAGTTGATTCCGTACTGATTACAACTGACTAAAATTCACATTGTTCTTGAAGTTGACAAAAATTCTAGACAGATATTTTTTAGTTAGCACAAGCTAATAGCTGAGGCTTTTACAAATTGAGAATGATGCATTTTTTTGTTCAATATTCACACTATTTTTCGAATAGATAAAGTGAATTAAGAATAAATAGAAGAAGGTTGTCATTTAGTACTCGGATGAATAAGTTGTGGTTGATTTCGTGATTTCAATATCTTAGAATGACATTGGTTTAATTACACATACAGTGGGAGTAAAATCCTACCCATAATCTTCACTTCTGGTGAGGGTGAAAATCGACTAATTAAACCTGTGAAAAACTTCATGTTTCTCTTTTTCCGAATAATACTAATATAACAAACTTGTCCCTGCTCACAACTACCATATGAACACAAATCTAAAACATGACCTAAAAGCTGTGCAAGAAACAAATGGAACAGAGGAATAATTTACTAGCAAAGAATTGAATCACAAGATGAAACCTACTAAATTTCATTGACTACTGGTATACAAATTTGCTCTACCTCTGAAGGGCATGTTCTGATACGATTGAAGAAAGATCTTCGAAAACCATCACCATGTCAGGCCTCTCGTCCGCTGGAAGGATACATCTAAGAGCAACTTGAAGCATGCTACCAAGAGCTTTGAGTGGTCGTTCTTGCACGCTTAGAATCCTTGTATCAAAGACCTCAGTTGATCGGTCTTCTATGGCCAATAACCTCACCCATTCAGTTAAGTCAATGATAGTGTCAGCGTTTTCTGCAACAACTTGAGCCGAATCTCGTCCAGTCAAGAGCTCCAATAAAATGACGCCAAAAGCATATACATCACTTTTCATTGACGGGCATGGTTTACTAGTGCTTGCAAATTCAGGTGGACGATAGCCAAGGGCACTTGCATTGAGCACCTGCTCAGCTGTACCAGCTGAAGTCATTAACCTATGAAGACTGTAGTCCGTTAAGAGCACATGAAATTTAGGAACTTCAACCAAAATGTTGGTAGATTTCAGGTTCCCGTGAGGTATTACACTGTCGCTATGAAGATAGTTCAGGCACCGAGCAACATCAACAGCGATTTTCAGTCGTTCATTCAAAGACAAAGGAGGCAGCCTCTCGTTATCTTTGTCTACATAAGAAAATATCGAAGCATGCTGTGAGTGTAAGCTTGAAAATGCATTTCTGATATTAAAAAAAAAAATGCACCAAGAAATCAATTAAAATCAAGCCCTAATGCCCTTTACTAATTCGTTGCATCAAAATCTGCAGGCAATAAAGTGTATGTTCCAAATATGGAGGAAGATTATAAAGATCAAGAACTAATTTATGTAATTGTTTAAGTAATTAACTAGCAATTCTAATTCATAATATCAAATCTAGAAAATAGATTTCAATGGAAATTAGTGCAAAATCAACAGATAGACAGAAATTATTAGCTCAGGTAAAGAAGAGAGAAAAATACCATGGAGATAAAATGCTAAGCATGGTGCATCTATGTAATTTGTTAGAAGCAGCTTCTCATGGTCCCTTGGGCCCCAGTAATAGCCCTGAAGAGAAACTAAATTTGGATGTCTGATGTTGCCTAGTTTCCTTGCTTCCCTGTAAAATTCTTTCCTTCCTTTCACTATCCCTTCCTTAAGCCATTTCACAGCCAGTACATGACCAGAACCCAGTGAAGCCTTGTAAAGTTTCCCATGACAACTCGTTCCAATAAATTCAGCAGGAGCATAAGATAGTTCTTCAGCAGTGAATCTCAGTGAGCTGTCAAAGAGTTGGAGTTCTCCAGAAAGTTTATCTGGGGATGAAACCTTTAGTGGAGCAGAGGATTCCGGCAGCTGTTGGATGTTAGATGGCAATGTATTAGCAGAAGTCATCAGCGACGAATCAGAAGCTATAACATCAGTTTTTGACATCACTTCAGCCTGTCCAAGATCTTTCAGTTCAGGTGCAATTGCTGTATTGTTGGCAGGGTCACGAGCATGCACCATTTGGGATGAAGGCAAAGATACAGGAACTGGAGAATGAATACCTTTCTTTCCATTAACCCCATCTGAACTTAACCAGCTGCCATCTTGGCAATGGAACTTGCAGAAGATGATAAAGATTAACAAAACTATAATAGAAGCACCACCAACCAGCCCTGCAATGAGTGCAATTTTAGTAGCGGGATTGAGTTGGGAGCCATGCCTCTTCAAGTTCATATTCGGTCCACTTATCGGAGCAGAGGACTGATATTGGAGATTGAGAAAGGTGTTTCCAGGATGAAATGCAGAAATCGGGAATCTTTGCAAGTTCTTTGGTACCGAACCAGAAAGATTGTTGTATGAGACATTGAAGCCAATCAGTTTATCAGGGAGAACATTAGGGATGTCTCCCTCGAAATGGTTACTAGATAGGTCAAGGTATACCAAATTTTGGAATACTCCTAGTTGTGGTGGTAAATGACCTTCTAATTCATTGTGTGAAAGATTAAGTGATAGCAAATTAGGATTTTGAGGGGCCATTAAGTCTACAGGTATGGTGCCGGAGAAATTGTTGAAAGATAGGTTAATATCAGTCAGTTCAGTTGAATTAAAAAGGTAGAGAGACAGAAATCCGCTAAAGTGATTTAAGCTGAAGTCAATCACTTTTACTCTAGGGTAGCTTCCTATGACAGGAGGAATGACACCTTCCAATGAGTTGTTTGAAAGTCTTAATGAAGCAAGCCTGAGGAACTGGGAAGTCTGATTTGGAAACGTTCCAGTCAGTAAGTTGGAGCTTAAGTCAAGAATCTCAACATAATTTCCCCAACTTTGTATTCTGGATAAATTTCCTGAGAACATGTTGTTACTTAAATCTATGACAACACAGTGTCCTACTTTTGAAGGTAAAGGTCCTGAGAACCTATTAGAGGACAGATTTACGATCTTCAATGTCAGAGAGCTGATACTTCCTAAAGGACCTGTCGCAAAGGAAAAAAAAAAAAAAAGAGTCAACTTAACTACATCAACAAATGGCCTTCAAACTAGCTATTATTATCTACTGAGTTTATACATTGGCATGTGATCAATGAACAGTAAACTTGCTTCCTTCTATTATTACTCCCTTTTGTGCTAGCAGATCTAAACTTTAAAAAGCCTAAAATTTATTCCATTCCCCTTTGGAGTTTTTGTCCCTTATACTGGCAGATGATACCCTAGTTGTAGAATTTTATGCCAATGCATAAATGATGACTAAAGGACTACAAAGTACAAAAAGCATTTCACAATAAGAAAATGCAGACAAGTTCAGCTGGGAGTAACTCCTTCAATCATCAAACTATGCTTTCTTTCATTGACTATTAAACAGACTAAAAGAGTAGCAGGGCTTCGGAAGTAGCATACCTTCAAGCTGATTAAGGCTGAGGTCTAATTCAGACAAGACCATTGAACTCTCTTGCAAAAGAGCTTCAGGTAAAGCTCCAGACAACTGGTTGCCTCCGATTCTCAGTACTTGAAGAGAAACCACAAAATTGAAAGATGGCAGGTTACCAACAAATTGGTTATTTGTTGCATCAAAAACCTGAAGATTATCAAAGTACGGTATTCCATCATGCGGAAATAGTTCACCAGCCAAGTTGTTGTTGCTAACATTTAAGTACTGAATTGAAGATATGAAGTTGGCAGTTCCTAGTCCTAAGTCCAAGGATCCAGAAAATTTATTGCTGCTTATATCAACGTGAAGCACGCTGCCCAAATCGGCTAAAAGATCCATGACATCCCCAGTAAAACCATTGGAGTGCAAATCTAGATACTTCAAATCCTCAAGAGTAGTAAGACCAGAGGGAATTGTGCCTTCCATATGGTTCAGAGAGAAATTCAGAAACACCAAGGTCCTCAACTTTATCAGTTCAGGTGGCATTGTCCCATTAAACTGATTGTTTGAGAGATCCAAATACTTTAAACCACTAATCAATCCAAGCTCCCCTGAGATACTACCACTGAACTGATTGTTAGAAATTGACAAATTGAGAAGCTTTTTAAGCCCGGCAATAGCAGTAAAATCGAAGACCCCAGTCAACCCCACATTATCCAGCGTAATCGAAGTTACATGGCCTCCACTGCAACTAATACCATACCAATTCTTCGGGCAGCCATCAGAAGAGAAGGATTTTGAATCCCATGAATCAAGAACATTTACTGAAGGGCCCCCCTGTATTCCCTTCTTCAGCAGTAAAAGGGTTTCCAAATCTGATTGTCCAACTGCCAGTTCAACAAATACTACTAACAACAGCAAACAAATGCACTTCATTTCCCAAATTTCAATGCCTTCTATCCACAACCAGAACAAAGTTCAGTCGATTTTACACAATCAAGGGTTGAAGAACGTCAACTTCAACTAGCTATGACAATCATTGGGCCAATAGGCGCGGGAAACAGAACTATCCAAACAGTTCACGAAGTAGGAATATCCAAATGAAGACTACCAGTAGAGTTACAAATGACAAGCAACAATTTCCGCAACACATTTCATGATATTTTTGTACAGAGCAGCCATAATGCGAACTGCCAGGAACCAAAAGAACCCTTTTTTAGAGAAGGCGAAAACCACACATTGTCGTGACCATTTTGAAAGCAAATTAATGTGGGAAAACGAAAAGGGTACCAACTAAACAAGACCCTACATCTTAATGCTCAAGAAGTAAACCAAAATGGGCTCCCAATTAGTGAGAAAAAAAATCCCAATGTAATAAAATTAAAAGCTTAAAAGAAGAAATGCTTATCTACAAATTGGACTTGGAGAACTGTTGATGAGAACCCATATGAAGCAAAACTGCAAAAGCATCCAGTTAAACTCCAATTAAGCATCCAAGGTTTAGTACAGGCCAAAACAAATAATACAGGGAGGCAAAGTGAGGCCATGTGACAGGGGAATTGAAAGGGACAAAAGCCAAGCAGCAGAATGGGGAGTGGAGAAGAGAGTAAAGAGTGTTAGGTGAGTGTGAAAATAATAATAACTGCTTCTGCATCTTATTCTGCAGCTTCATTGCTAAAGATGATGAGAAAAAGCTGAGCAGTTTTGAAAACTGTACCGGATTGGATTTTTTTTACTCTTTACCCTCGTGGTTTTTAAGGTTCAACAAGACTCTCAAGTCTCAAGTCTCACGAGTCAAGACAATGACTGTTTAGATCTTAAAAATTTGTTAAAAATGGGGAATAATCACGAGGGAGTATGAACCATTTGTTTGATTGTTTTGGATTATCTTTTAAACAAGTATCATTTCTGCAATTATGCAGGCAGATTAAGCTGTCTATATCATTTTTTACTCCCTTTTCTCCCGAAATAATTATCCAACTATATTTACAAAATAGTACCACAACAAAACAATAGTTTTAGACAAATGCGATACTTGGGCTCCATTTAGAAAAGCTAGTAGAATTCCTTTACAACACTTTTGGACGACTATTCTATAATCTATGCTAGTCAAATACAATTGACATGCTGCGCCGGCTCGAATTTACATAAGTCGAAACGATGATTTTGAACACCAAACGTGTTATAATATTAAAAAAAATATTTGATGTGTTATGTGCTTCTCATTCAATTTATATTTAATCTTAAAAATAACACAAATATTTTCTTAATGATATCATGTAAATGAATGAGAGTGTGTTTAATGGAAATTGATAAATTGAGAGCATGATTTTTATATTGAAAGCAAAATTTTATCCGATATTATCCTTATGTAAAAAATTATATTAATAGATTTATACTATATTTATTTTTCCTTATTTTTCTCCCATCTTTCTCGGCTGTTCTTCCGTCGACACTCGACACCACCAAAGAATAAGGGATTTGAGGGATACACGATGCTTCCGACCTCTTTTTGTTGATAATTTATGGTGTCTTAATCTACTTTTTAATTCTAACCGGATATTCTAATTTCTTCAAATCTTCATATTTTGCCTATTTAATAAAAATTAATAGTTAATTCTGAATACTTAATATTGAATTAAAAATATTGAATTCATTAAACAGTTACGGAATAAACAATAAGCTAACTTTTATTGTTTATATTTAGTACTGCAGTTTCAGCACCTCTTAATTAATTAAGAGGTTCATTTTTTATTACTAAACATGCTTAATTAAAAAAGTACTTAATGAAATAATTTTAAGCATTAATTGGTGTTATTAAACAGGCCTAAGCCTAAGGGTCGTGCTGTTGAGCGCTCTAATTTTTTCATTTGAACGCCCTAAAAAAGACATACACGCCCCTGCAAGATGGAGTTACATTGGTTTTTTTTTGCAAAAAAAAAAAAAAAAAAGGTAAGGAAAGGGAGAAATAAGCCACCCCTTTAAGGAGTGGCGTGAAATAATCTCGCCTTCCTTTAAAGGGAGGCGAGAAAACCTTCGCCATGTGGCGCCCTTTTGAGCGCCACATTTGTGCTGGTTGGTGAGCTTTTGCTCGCCAACCAAAGGGTGGGTGGCGCCAATAATTATTTTTTTTTAATTTTTCAATTTTTTTATTTTTTAATTTATTTATTAATTATTTTTTAATGTATTTAATTAATTTCTTTTATTTATTTTAATTATTAATTTAATTAATTTATTTAATTCATATATTTATTTAATTTATGTATGTATTTAATTTATTTATTTCTTAAAGTTTATTTTTTTATTTATTTATTTGGTGGTTAAATAAATAATTTTAACTTAAATATTTGGAGAATGTTGCTTAATTACGTAGTAAATTTTTATAAAAATTTATCATTTAGTTATGTAAAATTTTTTAAACGTAAACAAAAAATTATCATTTAATAAAAATGAAAACTTATGAATTTACTACCAAACAAATTAATTATTTATCATCGGTACATCTAGCCGTCCTGGAAATATTTTTTTGGAAAAAATTATAAAATATAAAATACGTTGAAATGAAAAATTAAAAAGCATGGAAAAAATATAAAATACTTTTATTTATTTATTTAATTTTTTAATATTTTTTCTTCTTTTTTAAAAGAGGATTAATAGTGATTCTCCATTTACCCCCTATGTGACTCAAACCCGTGACCTATTGGTCAAAGGTGAGATGTCTTATCTCTAGACCGCACCTCGTTGTCATTTAATTTATACTATTACAAAGTCAAAATATTTAAGTTAAAATTATTTGTTCAACAACCAAATAGATAAATAAAAAAATAAACTTAAATAAATTAAATAATTAAAAATAGAAAAAATTTTAAAAAAATTATATAAAAAAGTAATTTCGGTTTGGCGAGCAAAACGCTCGCCAAACCGAGGGGGGTGGCGCCAGATTTGTGCGCCACCCCCATTTTGGAAGTAACATTCCTTCTTGCCTCCCTTAATAAAGGGTGGCGCCTTTCTCCTGCGCCAGCTGTGAAAGGCTGGCGCAATGCTCCCTCGCACCCTCCCTCTTTTAAAAAAAAAAATATGTAAGGACAAAATAGTCTTTTTAAGATTTTTTAGAACATTCAAATGAAAAAATTAAGGCGTTCAGTAGCCTCCCAGTAAGCGTAAATCTCTGATTTAGTGCCGAGTTGTGACAATCGGCGGGCCAAAGTGCTGATTTTTGTTAATTCATTTGGACGTTTTTCAGTGCAATCTACAATATTTGCAGATGTGATGGTAATGTGTTTTTTTTGGGTTATAATTATGAATAATCTAGACCTTTTCTTTTTATCCAAAGTACAGTAGCTCGAGTTATAGCATCTGCATAATTAAAGAAAGAAGCTTAAAGATTAAAGGAAAAGTGAATAAGATAAATCTTTTAAAATTTTAAATGAGAGCAATATAGGTAATTACTAAAATTTTGCTCTCAATATAAAATAATTATTCTCAATTTATCAGGAAACAAATGGAGAGCAAAAAAAAACTTTATATTAAGAGCGAAACTTCTATATCTGTATAACTTCTACGAGAGCAAAAAAAAAAATAAAATTGTTAGTGGTTTAAACCTATCCAACAAACAAAACTCAAATGTAAATGGAGGAGGTAGAGCAGTGGTTCTTAATTGTAAGGTGCTTTGTATTATCATTTTAACAAAACTTTCAATAGTACAGTTTTACTATTTTTCACTTACTTTCTAAATTGGTTATTATTCTATGTAATTGAGGGTTTCTTTAGCCTACTTTTTACTATTTTTTATGTGTTTAGTAAAAAAGAAAAAAGAGTTAATTTTCTTTTTCTTTCTGTCAAAAGGAAGTCAAAGTTCTGTCTTTTGTAAAGAGATGTGGAGGAATGTTTTTGTTCTTGAAAGAAAAAATTAGATCAACTTCATGTTGGAATTCTCTTATAAAAGAATAAACAGTAATGGCTACACTAACTCACAAACTAGTAAGAAGAAAAACAACACTTGCTAAATGTAAAGGATTTGTCTCCAAGTCACAAGTAAAACTTGCTTTCCTTTAGGCTGAATTCGCCCACTATATTGTGCAATTGTTTAGGTGAATTCCCTACGAGATAAAATGGAGATCAAACCAAGACACTATGCACTTAGTGTTTGGTTACCAAAACAAGGATAACAATAGTCATTAGAAGTATTCTAAGTATTTGAAAAATTTTCTCTACAGCAAAAAACTCTCAAATGATCCATATTTATAGAATTCTTGTGACTCTTAGGATTAAACACAACTCTTACTTGATGTCTCTCCAGACTTTGGGATGATTAGACACCACTTCTAATTTGTGTCTTTTCATTTGGAATCCTTAGACACAACCTTTGAACATTTGGCATGTGTCTTCTTATTTCTATTATGAAAGTTTATAACCTTTCATAATATTCCAATATATTGAAAATATTTCAACACTTCAGTTTTAACATTTGTTAGATTTCTAAATTACTACAATTCAGGCACATTGATGACTGATCCTCAGGGTTAGAATACGAAATTCAGGGAGAATCATCACCAATCCTCTTTACTTGAACCAATTAAGATCTCTATGGCTTTACCTCTCATCAATCACTAGGCACATCAGCTGTAGATCTTGAACTTAGATTAACATCTGTACAAAGAATTTGACTTATATTTCCTGATCTGAGTTGAGGTCAATTTTGTAATTCTGATCTCCATTTCCATAACTGCTCAAATGGTTCTGTTTGAGTCAAAATTGTATTTGAAAGTGAATATCGACTCGGCTCAAATTAATTTTAAACGACTGCATGATATTCTCGAAATCCGGAGTCCACTCGTTAAAGTTATTCAAAGATGATGATACTTTCAACTCGCAATTAGCCCAAAAACTTATGTGTTTGACAAGGAAATAATAAGGAAATCCGAAAAGATGAATAAAATGGCCAACAAAGGCCAGTTTTGTTGATTTGATGAAAACGAATCGGCCGTGAATAGCTAAAAACATCGAAAGCTTACAAGAATTAACACTGAAAAGTAAAAAAATACATAAAAGTTGAAATAAATGATAAAAGGCTATAAAGAACTAAGAATATGATTCTTCGTATGATGAATTGTGTGTCCCCTCACCTTCCCTCTTTACAGTTTTTATAAATGGCTCGCCAACCGTAGTCGAAATGCAACAGAAGTCGAATATGATAAGGACTTATGTTGCGTTTGGAATCCTTCTCCGACAAGGACTACGTTGTCGACGACTCCTTCTCCGATTCAACTTGTCAACCACCGCTCCTTCTCCAGCAATATTGCGGGCTTGATAATTCTTTCGCTCCCTTCATTGATGCGAATGGCCCAATTCATGTGGACCAGATTTGTTAAAATCGATCCAACATAAAGCCCCCCGAGGGAAGCAAATTTGGGGCGAAAATTGCTTGCCTTACTGCCATATTCTCCCTTCAGCCCAATATACTGGGATGATCCAGCAATAAGGCCATCCAAGGAAAAAAAAAATGATCCGCCCAGTAGTCCCCCCTAGCAAAGGCGTGTGTGTGCAGACGCATGTTTGCTAACGGATTCCTGACTCCACGATTCTCGAGGGTTGACCAATTTTGAACTCACTGAAGTGATGACGGAGAGAGAAAAGAGGATAGAACAGCTTCAACAACTTCTCTTCTGCTTAACGGAAAAAAAATCTTTTTTGATTCCAAATCATAATCAAATCTGAAGCTGTTTCAGTGAGGTCTAAGCAGCAGTTCTGCAAGAGCACAAATCCCTTATGAGCCTATTCAATTCTTTAC